GCATTCTCGTGGTGACATCACATGCAACTAAACACCGTTTTACTTCAGGTTAGGAGTCCACGTGTCTCCTAAGCCTACCACCAAGATTACCTGCACAGTTTCAAGCACACGTTTTAAACAAACTCCTCTTCCTTAGAGGTTTGAGTTTAGACTATCGACGACAGTTAATTAAGGCGAGACAATAAAGAGTGCTTGTAGGTAGGATTAGCTAGCCGTCTGACAGGAACGCAAATAGTACCAAGGTCATTTCCAACCTCAACCTACTTGAAAAGTGGAACTGCGTAGTCTGAAGCGCGCACAGCCTGTCGCCCTTCATTACCGAAAATACCGATGCCCACACTGGCTTCCTGCAGCATTGCAACGTCGTTTCCGCCGTCACCAACAGCGGCAGTCACGGGGGGTCCACCGCCACCGACACCATCCAGGCCACGATTCACAAGACGCACCACCGCTGCTTTCTGGAGGGGCGTCATGCGACAGCACAGCACCGTCGTCACATTCATGCAGAGGCGGAGAAACTGCTCACGAAGAACGGGCTGCAACAACACAGAGCTTTTGGCTGAATTGGTTCCATTCAGATAAATCGATTACCTGATATCCGTTACTAATGTGGCCAAAGTTGTGTTAATAATTTTTGGATTGCAGCGACGTTATTACTCCTACCTTGCAACCCTGCTGATTAACAGTCCACAAAAACCTGATAGGAGTAGGAAGACAAATGACGTGCCAGTGTTCTTTTTTATACGATCAATAAATGCACGCAGTGCCGTTCTTCTATATCAAATTTGTTCGTTGTACATCGTGACATCAACATGGTAAATAGGGTACAATAAAATTGACGTTTAATTTTACTGCTAAACAGAGTGAACACGCAGTTTGTTCTGCTCATGTATTGATATCACATTTCAAACTTACATTTCTCGATCTGGGTAAAAGTTAATTTGCCTCAGTTTGTAACCTCATACGTACCTCTTTGCAGCGAAACCAAATTTTTTTGCAATTAAGGACGTTCCAAGGCTCCGGCAGCACAAATTACCAAATTTAATATTATTTTATCATGTAATTTTAAATTCACTTTCTTAATAGCTATATGAGTTTGGAAAAAAATTAAACAAGTTACGTGAGTAGTCAACTGAATCTGTCCCACGCTTACTCAGGTATTCAAGAGCCACTCGTAACCCAGCATCTTCTGCTGAGACATGAAAAAGAGCCACGCCAGCAACTCCCTATCCCTTACGCCTCGCAATATTATGGTTTCCGAAAATGTCAGGAAATAATGTAACGATTAAGTCCTTTGCCTTAAGGATAATTGACGCTTATGTAGAGGGGCTGGTCACACAAATTTTTACGATTTAATCAATCTTTGCACTGACAATGATCCCACTTGAGTGCACACGCCCTATTTTGGCACACACATTCGCACATTGCACTCCCTTTATCATGCAGCGAATAATGTCGAGTCAGTAAAATTGTGAATCAAAATCCAATGACTCTCATTGCGTAGTCGATTGTAGTGCGAGGCCACCAGGCAAACATAGACTTGAGCCACAGTTCTTCTCTACTACGCTCAGTAAATGTTGTACTGAACAGAACCAACGATCTCGTACTTACAGATCCAATTTAACTTTTTTCTAACATTCTCACCGACCATGCACACCACAACCGATGAATTCAAATAATTTAATCGTACAAATTCCGTTGGATAGCTCAAACCCTGTCCACATACATTTCTCATTGATAGAGCCCCGATCAGCTACAGCTTAATCATGTCAAGAACAAAGTGCTACGCAGGGCATTCAGAAAAAGTTCTAGAATTACCGAGGCAACTTTTAAACCGAGAATCTGCAGTGGGTTTACAGCAGACCTGCTCGAACGGAAGCTTGTCCAAACCGGTCCACCTCAAATTTGCTGGTATTTATGACTCACCCCTAAACTTTCATCGGTTTCTCTCAACAAATACCCCACAAACACACTCAAACACGCGTACACAATGGCACATCACGTGCCTAGTCGACGCCTAGATGGACTTGGACAAAGTCATCTAACAACATTCAGAATCACCGCCAATAACTCCATTGTCATCATCTATCACACCACAAGAAACGTACTCCAATTAATGAAGTACCGATTTAATTTACAAGCTCTGTACAACGAAGTCCTATCAATTACGTCCAAAATGTACCGTGTTCACAAAAAATTGAAATGCTTATCATCCACTTCCAGAGTGACGAATCTTGGATATAATATAAGCTAATTTCTGACTCAGTTGCTTTCAAGAAATTTCGCCGCGTTAAATAAGTTTACCTGCTGAGATTTGCTCAAAGTGCTGTGCTATTCTACACAACGTTTTTGTGCTCAGTCTGTGGCACTCACTCGCAGTAAAAGCTTGACTTACCGAAATCGCGTAGCGCAGAGTTCTTCCATCGATTACCAAGCCAACAGGTTCATTGGCGCCACCAGGGTTCTTTCTTCTGTGACGCCTCAGTCCGTCTGCTACGGCACTTCGAAAGCCAACAACGGCCCGTTGCATGATCTCGTTGCTGCTCTTTGACTGTACTTCTATTGTTGAGATATCGATTGGAGAATCGAAATCCGACGACGAATCACTATCCTCTTCAATTCTCCTCTTGAAGGGGTTTCTCAACCTGAACCTTGTTCTCTTCACCTCTAACCGAGCGTTCATGCCCTCCTGTTGCACGTAGATTGCTCGTCCGACATCTTCAATGCTCTGACCGTTTGTGAGGCGCACGAGAGTCGTGCCTGGTGGAAAATGCCCCGTAGCCTGACTGATCTGGACAGCAGTCTCCTCTTTGTCCCCAGTCAGAACCCACACCTGCACAAACGCAACGCATTAGAAGGTGGCTGGGACACTGAAAAGGCATGGGCAGGCACCTACCTGGATACCTGCTGATATCAGACTTCGGAGACACCGCTTCACACCTGGTTGGAGTTTGTCCTCGACACCGCTAACTCCGATCAACATCAAGTCACGCTCGATTTCGGCACTCGCCTCTTCGACGCGACGGACTCTTTCTGGGCCTATCAAACACTGGGCGGCTCGGAATCGTCTGAGTAGCGCGTTGTAAGTGTCAACATC